TGAAAGAGCTTTGGAAGCCATCTTGCATAGCTCCCTCATTTTATAAATGAGAAAAACAAGGCCCAGAAACCTGAAGTGACTGACCTCTTGCCTAGAGTTGGAGTCAGGACCAGTGCCTCAATCACCTGGGTTCTTACCCAGGGCTCTTAACACTATTTAAAAAGAAAAAAAAAGGATCTTGAGAAATGGATATTATTCATCATGGAGCCTTTCAAGTTTATCTGGTCTGACCCTCTCCCAAAATATGAATCCTCTCCAGAAGCCTCTGTATTTTAACTGTTTCCCCATGATTTTGCTTATCTTTAAACTTTCTAAAGGCGTGAATTACTACAAAGGGCAGGGAGGGGAAAAACAAACAAGCAAACAGGTTTTTAAGACAGAGAATATTATAAGGGATATCCCCCAAACTGTGCACTAATTAAAGCACCATGAATATTTTGAGGTTTGTGGTCTGATTTTCTTCCAAAAATTCTGGAATGGATAGAATTGCAAAAACCCCCAAATGACTCCTTCATACTTAACCTACTCTCATTAGACCTCCCCTGCCTGTGCATACCTAAAGCATACACTAGAGGCAGTGGGGTAGTGATTTAGAGTGTTTCCCTATGAGAAGGAACATAGAGAATTGGACAGAGAGAGCTGTTCTCAGAGCCGGAAAGACCAGACTAGGACAAACACTTGCTGACTGATTGTTTCAATCAACTATTCAACAAACATTCATTTAGTGTCTTCTAGGTGTACAACCCTGCAATGAAGTTCCATTTCTGACACATACTAACTGTAAGTTCCTGTCACTTTACTTCTCACCCAAGGCAACTTTCTCTAAGACTCTAAGATCAGAGAAGGTCCAGCCTGCATTGAGAGAGGGAGTTTGCTTGCTTGGAAATTCTCTATAACTCAAAATCCTAAGTCCAGTCCCTATTCCTCACCCTGATAGATTTGACAGTTAATAGTATAACACAAATTTTTAATGTGACACTTTAAGCGTCCTAAGGAAAATTTCAGGGTTATCTAGTCTATCATCTTGCCTTAAGTTATCTTAGAGAGGTGAGAATCAGTCCTGTTGAAAAACACCTCTAAGGCAAAGCTCACGGGAAGGAACTTGACTACCATTCCCCACCAAGCGTATCTTTTTGTTGGATCCATGTAATGAAAACTGAAGGTGGAATTAAAGACCTAGGCTTGAATCACAATTCATGTAACCTTAAGTTCTGATATATATTCCTTGGGGGACCTGAGGCAAGTCACTCAATTCCTAGTACCCCAAGCAACTATAAGTTGAAGAAGAGATACTGATTCGCATTTGATAGGGAATTTCCTACAGGAAGAAATTATAGGTCTGAACCACATGTATATGTGTGTGTGTGTGTGTGTGTATATATATATATATATATATATATATATATATATATATATGGTATACATACATATACACACATATATTTTACATTACATACACATATCTACACACACATATATGTATATACACACATATATCATCATCAGGATCATTACTTGAATACATTTTTTTAAAAAGTGCTGCTATTTCAAAAGAAAGCACTAACTTAGCCAGGTTGATTATGTCACAACGGGCAGGGCTTCAGTTCTGTTATTCCCAACTCTGACCACTGCTTTAGCAGAAAATCAGCCCTTTCACGTTTTCAAAAGTTTGTATTTTTTTTCCTGGACAGGCACAGTGTAAGTTGTCAAGGATACAAGCACAATCCAAAGCCAGAATTATAAGAGAAGGAGGAGTTCCAATGAAAATAAGAACTGTTGAGAGCAGTTAGGGACTACTCCTATGAATTAAAAACAGAGCCAGACGTCATTTTGTCCTGTTCCCTGCAAGGGGACTTCAGGAAGTACCCCAATTATCCCAACTTTGATACTAATAAACTGCATAGCCATGAACAAGACACGTTCTCTATGAGTAAAATTACCTTTTTCATCTGAAAAATGGGGGCAACGATATTTGTGCTATGTTACCTCACAAGGTTGTTTGTAAAGAAAGTACATAATTAAACCCTAAATCACTACAGAAATAAAAATTATTATTATTGCTATTTCTGTCTAGCCTTGCTATTACTATTGCTATTAATATTATACTTAAAGATGCAGTAGTGGAAGCCCTCATGATATTTTGCTATGGAAGTCACATACATCATAGTATTTGACAAGAATGAGTCAAGGAGAGAAAGTAGGAGAAAACTTTCTTATGAGCTTTCAAAAGACGTAAAAATAAGAAGTATTTGCACCAGGTCTGGAGTCAGGAAGACCTGAGTTCAAATCTGGCCTCAGACACTGAGTAGCTATGTGACCGTGGGCAAATCACTTCACCCTGTTTGCCTCAGGCTGTAAAATGAACTGGAGAAGGAAATGACAAACAACTCCAGTGTCTTCACCAAGAAAACCACTAATGGGATCATGAACAGTCAGACATGACTGACAACTGAACAAACAACGACAATCATTGTAAAGTGCTTGATAGCAAGCAGTATGGAATTGTTAGTTACCACTACTACTACTATTATTATTATTATTAATCTATAGAATATAAGAGCTGGAGGGAACTTTCAGTCAATTTGCACAAATAAAAGCTTATCGTTACCATTTATAGAGTGCTTTAAGGTTTGTGAAGCACTTCACGCTTATTTTTTCACTTAATCTTCATAACCCTGTCAGATTAGTGTTATCACCTATTTTGTAGATGAGGAAATAGGCAGAGGTTTCCGAGGCAGGATTTGGACTCAGGACTTCCTGGCTCCAAGTCCAACATTCTCTCTACTACGCTTACTTAGCTGCCTAGACCTCCCACTTTAAAGGGAATGAAACTGAGGCACCAAGGTACTAAATTATTTGCCCAAAGTCACACAAATGTTGAATGACAGAAGCTAGGTTAGATGTGCTGAGTCTTAGACCTCTTCTATTGAATCAGATCATCTGAGCCCTGGGCTTTCTACTATACCGTGTCATTGTTTACCAAAGCTCCTTCGAGGGCAATGAACAGAAAGCCTTTTATAGAATTATCAAAAAGGTTGGTAGAATCTAGTATCACTCTTTAAAGGAAAATAAAGGTCAAACCAGACAGAAAAAAACTTCCTGTGTTGCAGGATATTAATATTAAGCACCTTTTGTAGTAGGAAAGAACTGGATACAGAGTGGGTTCCTATCAATTGGAAAATTACAACAAATCATAGTACTAACCGACTAGTACTATTATAACTAATAATTTTAATAAAGTTAATTACTAACCAATTTTAATAATAAATTTCCAAAAAAGAATTTCATTGGGAGGCAGTTAGGTGGTGCAGTGGATACAGTTCTGGTCCTGGAGCCAGGAATACTCATTTTCCTGAGTTCAAATGTGGCCTCAGACACTTACTAGCTATGTGATCCTGGGCAAGTCACTTAACCCTGTTTGTCTCAGTTTCTTCATCTGCAAAATGAACAAAGAAGGAAATAGCAAATCCTAGTATCTACCAAAATAGACTCAAATGAGATCATGAAGAGTCAGACACGAATGAAACAATCAAACAACAACAATAAGAAAAAAAAGGAATATGAAAAATTCAAAGAATCATGGGAAGACCAGTATAAACTGCTGCAAAGTAAAGGAAGCAGAACCAGAAGACAGCACAAGTACAATAATTTGAAAGACAATTCTTAAAAAAAAAATCGGGGCAGCTAGGGGGTACAGTGGACAGAGCACCAGCTCTGAAGTCAGGAAGACCTGGGTTCAAATCCAGCCTCAGACCAAACACTTGACACTTACTAGCTGTGTGACCCTGGGCAGGTCATTTAACCTCAATTGCCTAAAAAAAAATAAAATGCAACGTAACTATAATGGCCAATGTTGGCCCTATGGGAAAGATGTGAAATGCACCTTCTTCCTGGTGGGGGTAGGAGGCTGGACTACGGATATGGATAATCATATAATTGTCAAAGGCAAGTTTCTGCGTCCATGGATTTCTTGTTACCAGGAAAGGTTTCCTGGGAGGGTGAGTGAGTGAGTAAGGCCCAAAATGAACGGAACATAAAAACAAAAGATACCCATCGAATTACAAAACTAAAGAAATAAAAATAAAGGGAATGACAGCAGAGAGATTGTCCTGTTAATTTTTACTTTGCAAGGACTTTTATCTGAAGGCTCTCAGGGTAGGGAAAAGCTGCCGTTTGGAAATTCACGGGACATTTTCATCTTCATAAAAGCTCATTTATGAAAATTCCAAGACCCAGTAAAAGTCCTAATAAGAGATAAGGAGTGATGTAGCGACGGAATGATCCCACCCTACAGTGTATGCTCAGGGAATTAATAAAGGACATGGGGTAATTATTTGTGTGGACGTGAATCGCATCATGAAAGTTCTCAAAGGTCAAGCTGCTAGGAATGAGGTAATGCTGTTATTAGGATGAAGTAAACACCATTTTGGCTTTTTGCAAATGGGTGTTTTTCTTTTTTTTTTCCTTTCTTCGCATCTGTTTTTTTTTTTCCAAACGATCTCTAAATTGCTCCCTCCTCTCTATCTCACACATCTTTGTGCAAAATGTTTTTAAAGGCCACACAGTGCCTTCCTTTTTGGCTGGTGGAATAGAACGACCTCTTAATAGCCTTGTACTAGGGGCAGCTAGAATAAGAGATTATTTGCTTACAGGGTTGGAGGTTTTGAAAAGTTGTGGAAAACGACCTTGGATTTGACTTGGCTAAAAAAGAGAAAGCGGAGAAAGGGAGGGAGGGGCAGAAAAAGGTCCCGTGTTCAAAATAGTCTTAAATTCTAACCAATCATATGGTACAAATGAAACATTTTCACAGATACTTTCTAACAGCTTTGCAGTAGTATTTTTTTAAACATGCTTTTCAACAGTCATGCTGTTTTCAAACATACTGAAAGAAACACTGTGTTCAGAAGGCCCTGGGATGGTCTATAGCATACTGCTGGAGAGATACAAAAGTGGCTTTATTTAAAAGGATGTTTGCATTGGAATGAGTCTAGAAGACCTACCTGCACATAATCCACACTCCTCCCCAGTGCTTTGAATGCTGTGTACATTACTTCTCTTTTTCCACCCCATTTTTGCATGATGCAAACACTTTTGTTGGACAAGACCAGTTGGGTTATGTACTGTGAGCTCTCTTTATGTGACTCGTCCGTCTCACCAGGGCCTTTTGTGTGGAAGTTATTCTTCCAGATGTAAGTGGCCGCAGTGTCCCTGCCCATGACGTCTCTGAAGATCTCCAGCATATACAGGTCATCGTCAGAATTGCCATCTATGACCATGACCACCTTAATCCCAGGATAGGTTAGCCTTTTCACAGAAAGTAAACATTTTCTTAAGTAATCAGGGTCTTCTTGGTATGCAGCAATGCAAAGAGCCACAGATTTGTTCAACTTAATAGGAGTTTCTAGTGATCTTCTCATTTTCCTGTGCTCTAGAAAGGCAAATAGGCTTTGGATGATAAGATGTGAGGCTAAGAAAGCACCATAGAGTCCAAAAGAGAAATAATAATTTTCTGTTTGGAAAAACTGGTAGCCAACAATATAAGCAGCTGTGATCCCCAGGAGAAGGGAGACTCCAAAAAGGGTAGTTCCAATTATTCTCAGGATACAGACAAACCTCTCACAATGCATCTGCAATAGAATAAAATAAACAGAGTGAACCAGAGCTTGGCAAATGTCTTGCCACACATTCTTGGGTTATTCCTAGAAAAAACATTTAAGAAATTTTCATCTTCACATGCCCACCCAGAGCTTAGAAGCTCTGGCCAAATGTTCCCGAGTGGTACTTGGTCAAATGATATCAAAGCAAACTGGGAAAGGCTATTGATAAGCAGAATGAATTCCCCTCCCCTTCTGTTAGAATAAGCTTCTTGAAGAAAGGGTCTACCTTCCTTTTGGTATTAGTATTCCCAGGGCTCAGCACCATGTCTGGCAATCAATCAATCAAACAGCAAATGTTTATTTTGTGCACCTACTTGGTGCCACAAGTTGTACCAGGCATTGAGAATTTAGCAAGCATTGAGACAATAACTACTTGCAATGAATATCCATTCTAATGGAGAGGAAATGACAAGTAGCTACATAAATATCTACAGTATAAAGAAATAAAACACATGCAAAGTAGTGAAATACAAGGAATTTGGGGAAGGAGGCCACTAGCAGAGAGGAATCGAGAAATTCTATCCAACAACCACGTACTTCAACATTTGCTAAAACGTGAGTAAAGAGAGATAAAGAGGGTGAAACTGATGACTCACTAAAAACATATATATTTCTTTAGTTTTCACTAAGAAGCAATCTCAGATTTAGGATGCATCATAGATGTTTGACCAAGGTCCAGTCATGTCATCTCTCTGATCCTCCAGCACCTTTCTAGCTAGCATTGGGAGCTTCACACTGTAGGGTTTCGATAAGCATTTCTTTGAGGCAATCTGAGTTAAATGACTTGCCCAGAGTCACACAGCTAGGACAAATATTTGTTGATTAAATTTTTGAAAGCACAGATCTGACCATGTTACCCTTCTATTCAATAAACTCCAGTGACTCCCTATCACCTCCAAGATCAAATACAAAATCTTCTGTTTGGTATTCAAAGCCTTTCATAACCTAGCCCCTGCTACCTCTCCAGTCTTCTTATGTGTTACATGCCCCCTGCCATCCAAACCCACTACCTCCCCCATTCCCCCCCCCCACATAATCTTCAATACAGTGATGTTGGCCTCCACATTGTTCCTGGCACAAGCCAAACCATCTCAAGACTCTAGGCATTTTCACTGACTGCTCGTGCCTGGAAAACTCATTCCTCACCTCTGTCCCTTCAATTCCTTCAAATCTCAGCAAAAAAAATCTATAAGAAGCCTTTCCTGATCCTGTTAATGCTAATGCCTTCCTTCTAGTGATTATCTCCAATTTATCCTCTCTATATTTTGTATTTCTAAAGTTGTTTTCCTGTTGTTTCCCTTCATTAGACTATAAGCTCCTTGTGACAGTCTTTTGCCTTTCTTTGTGTTTCTAGTGTTTAGTACAGTACTTTACATTGTCTTTTCAAGTCTGTCTGCCTCTTCATGAGCCCATTTTGGGGGTTTTCTTGGCAAATACTAGAGTGGTTTGTCATTTCCTTCTCTAGCTCATTTTACAGATGAGGAAACTGAGGGAACAGAGTTAAGTGACTTGCTCAGGGTCACACAGCTAGTAGACTGGATTTGAATTCAGGTGTTCTGGAGTCCAGGCCTAGCACTTATTCACTATTCCACTTAACTGCCAATGTGCTTAATGAATTTAGCACCTTTTGGTATAAGGTTCTGTGATGACGGTTCTTCCATCTCCCTCCTCTCCCCCTCTTCCATCCTCAGTGTGTCTCTTGTACAGTCACACCTAGAGTAGCTATTGGTCTAGCCAATTCAGAACTTTGGTTTATCTTTTATCAAATCATAGATATCGAAATACTACCATTAATGACTGGAGACTTTGGATCTAATGAATGGCTTTCATTCCCATTGTTCTCCCCCAGAAAAATATACAGTTTTGATATGACTTACAGGAGCTGCTGTAATTTCCGTGACTAGAAATTCTCTTCCCTTTCCACAATCAGAGTTTACCCACCCTCCAAACACCAGCTCCAGTCTTAACATTATAGAATGATAAGGTATAGGGATACCATGTTGGGCTTGGACTTGGGTTCACACTCTACCTCACACTCATTCTAGCTGGGTGCCTTTGCGTGAGAGAATCCATCTTCCTGTGCCTCAGTTTTCTAATCTGTAAAACAAGAGGGCTACATCTGATGGTCAGTAAAGGTCCCTTCTAGCTCAAAAAATCATGATTCTATGAACCTATGATCCCTCCCGTGAAGCCAGCACAGTGTACTTGAGTCCTAGTCTGAGGATCCTGAGTTCTAATTCCATTTCTTCCACTAATTAGGGGAAGGATATTGGTTATAACCTTTACCGCCCCTCCCATCATCTGTATTGTGCACGGGAATAAAATCAATACAATCCCACAAGCATGTACTAAGCTCCTACTTACATGGTAGGATGGTATAAGTTGCTGGGGATACAAAGGCAAAAATGAAGTCCCTGCCCTCAAGGAGCTTCTATTCCACTCTGTCAGCCATGAGAGTAATAGAGGACAACTTGTACAAAGATAAGTAGAAAATGTGAGATATATGTAAAGTAAATTCGGGGAGAGATACTAATAAATGGGGAGATCAAGAAAGGACTTGTATAGGAGGTAGCACAAGCTGAATCTTGAAGAAAGCCAGAGATTTGAAGAGGCAGAGGTCAAGGTGAGGAGGAAGTGCATGACCTAAGCATCAACAACCGCCTCTTCAGTTGGACAGAATCCCTGAACTCAGGATCCTCATATTAGTCCTCCAGCCCACTGTGCTGGCTTCAAGGCAGGAACCACAGAGCTTGCAGAATCATCGTTTGTGAGGTGGAAGGGACTTCTGTTGTTGAGGTGTTTCAATAGCATCTTACTCTCCATCGTGAAAGCTCCATTTGGGCTTTTCTTGGCAAAGATATTAGAGTGGTTTGCCATTTCCTTCTCTAACTCATTTTGCAGATGAGGAAACTGAGGCAAACAGGATTAAGTTACTTGCCCAGGGTCACATCACTAATAAGTGTCTGAGGTCAAAGTTGAGATAACCTGTGTAAAGTGCTTGAAAATCTTAAAGCATTAGCTTTATAATTAAAGCTAATTCTAATTATTCTTACCTTGACCATCTCCCTCCTCACCCCCAACCTCCATAATGCCAGAAAGAAAGAAGACAAAGAAAAAAAAATAACAGTAGAAGAATTTCCTTGGCTACAAAAGATTATACCCAGAAGTCCAATCCCTCCATTTCACAAATGACAGAACCAAGGGAAGTGATTTGGCCAAAGCACACAGTTGTTAGCAGAAGAATCAAAACTACATTCCTGGTATCCTGACTGCCAGTCAAGCTTTGGCTTCATTTAACCAGGCCACCTCCTCACCTCCCTTTCCTCTCCTCACATTCAAGAGAGGTTTTGGCTTAGCACTCTCCTGGACCTGCAGAGGGAACTTATGACATCACTGGAAACCAGAGCAGTGAGATGAACAGGAGAAATGCTAAACATTTAGCGCCAGGTCTGCAAGCGTGGTATCTCCTCGTAAACAGAGCAAGGCAGTAGGTATGCTGGCAGCTCCCAAGGGCTCCATGAACTAGCTCTGTAAGGACCCTAGGAGCACGGTCTGGGTCTCAGAATTTTTCATTTCAAAGAAATGAGTCATTCTCACACCAGTGAAAAAAATCCAACCCAGCTCAGACACTTTGCCAGGGAGAAGCATAAGTGTGTGTGGGTGTGTTTAACAAGTGCTAAGGGCAGCGGCTCTTGTTGGCTTTCCATTATTCACATTTTCCTTGTATTATCAACATAAGACACTGATAGGCTCTGCCGAAGCATCTGCTGAGACTGAAACACCACCCTCTGACCCTGGTGGGGCCTCAGACCATCCCTTTCAAATTATTTTGGGAAAAGTTACTAGGAAGTGGGAGACAGGCCACTGATGTCAATCATGCTGCACATGAAATGCTGGAGCTAACACAGCATCTTCATTTCAACATGGAGGGCCTGAGGGAGACGACAAGGGCTCCCCACCTTCTTCACAGAGCTTCTCCTGATCCTCCTCAACTACTAGAGTTTTTCCTGGAGTCAGGAAGAACTGAGTTCCAATCTGGCCTCAGATACGTGTTAGCTGTATGACCCTAGCCAAGCCACTTAGCCTCTGACTGCCTCAGTTTCCTCAATTGTAAAATGGGGATCATAGCACTTACCTCACAGGGTTTTAAGGATCAAATGAGATTATTTTGTAAAAACAAACAAAAAAAATGTTTAGCACAGTGCATGTGGAAGGAGAGAATAAAAGCTCTGCCAGGTCCTGCCCAAATGGAAAAACTTCAAGGATTGGACTCATGTCAGGCTTTTGTTAGAGGGCAGCCTTGTCTTACTGCAGAAATGTGTAGCCCTAAAAAGGTGATTAATATTTTTTTGGCAAAGCAAAATCATGAAACTATCAAAGATATGGATAAGATTGTGATCAGAGATGAAGCATCGATGCAGATGAAACAACAGATCCTTAAACTATTATTGTTATTACCATCATTATTATTGTAAAATTACTTCCCATATATGCATGCCATAGGTCTAATTATACTGTAAGCTCCTTGAGGTTTTATAGGTCTTATAACTTATTTTATATTTGATTTTGCTCATCATGGTTCTACTCACAGTGTGGGTGCTCAGTGAATATTTGTTGTATATCAATAAATTATTGCGACTGAGGAGAAGGAGCCTTAAACTAGGATAGAAGAGGTAGAAATTTTCAAGTCCCAGTAGAAAGAAAAATGAGCTTGGGGCCACAGGACCTGAAAAGGGAGAAGATGAGGAGGAAAAGGTGGGAAGGAGGGAGAGGAGGAGGAAGAGGGAAAAGGAGAAGGGAGAGGAAAAGGACAAGAAAGGTAAGGAGAAGGAGATTTAGAACATTAGGTCCTTGAATGTTTTACTAGGACATATTTAGGCAGTATTTTATAGTTGTAAAATGACTATTTATGTCATTTGACCCTTGAAGCATCCCAGGGGGTGTGTAGGGCAAAAGTTGCTCTCCACATT